GCCCCGCGCCCCGCAGCCCCCTGTCGGGCTGCCGCGTGTTGCCCTCTAGGCCCAGAGCGCACGCTCGCCGTGGCGCGCGTGGTCCCCTGCCCGCGCGCCCGCCGCTTCTCCTCCCGGAGGTGGAGCGCGCCGGGGCGCCCCGTGAAGCATCCCTGAATACAAACACAGAGGCTGAACAACCAGCAAGCTAAAAAAGAGCTAAGGTGTCAGCTGAAACACTGAGCAACAACAACACCAGGAAACGACGAGAAATGACATGTAACACCACACCGAAGAGACAGCAACGGGTGAGGGCACACAGCGTGTGCGGGAAGGGAGACCTGGGGACAGCAAACGATTTCGCCCGCCAACGTCTGCTCTGGCTTCCGGCAGTTACTTGCAGTCTGTTTCTTTTTCACCCGTTCTTTACAAATATTGAATAAATGTTACCCTGAAGTTAGCGGACTTGCGTTAACGGGCTCTTAATCGGAGAGCTGGAAAGGGAAGCTACCTGTCTTCCTCTCTGGGTGCGTGCTCAGTGTGTTGCACCCTTCTTGCCTTACGGGAAGAAAATACAGATAAATCCAGAAAATATACTTTTTTTTTTTTTTTCCATTCATTTGTTGGCTTTAAGCTTGACCTGTAAGTTAGGAAGTTACTTCTAGGGAAAACGCTTAAACGGTCGTAGCGACTCCGCTGTTGGTAAGAGTCTGATTTCCGCTGAAAACAGCGGAAAGGCTCCATCCAGCGCCCCGAGCGCAGCCTCCCACCGCGGCGCCCCGCCGCCGCCGTGCTGCGAGGAGTTGCTCACGTGCCCGAATTTTGTTTCCCACTATCAAGTAATAGTAAATTATATTCTACCAGCAGGCACTATACAACGTTATCCTCTCGTAACGTCTGAGTTACTGGGGAGCGGTGACAGCAGAGGACTTGCTGTGCTGCAGCTCCTTCCACGCCGTCATAAAGCTGCTACAAGCCAATTACAGAGTTTGGAGGGTACATAAGAATCCATTGTATTAAAGTATTTCTAACCAAATTAGATGAGCATTGTAATTTCGGATACTTCTTTAACACCTATTGGCAATTACTTGGGCTAAATACGTCAGCCTGAGGGCAAAAGCATCGGTAGAATACGTCTGCCGAAAAAGGAGAAGCAGGCTCATACGCATTTTGCGTGATATTTATATATTCTTCCACCAAAAAGAGGACCACAATGTATTTAAGAAGGTCCTTCATGATTGCAAAACTGAATCTTAATACCTGTCCGGGGGAAATAAAAATTTCTGGAATTTAGTCTTTTTGTGCAGGCGCATTTGAAGCATTCTCGCTATTTGTCAGGAATCCTTGGCAAGCTTTGTATGTTACAGTACCTTCAGCAGACACTTCTCGAACCAGGGGCACCGAAAGGATCAGCAGGGATAGGCAAAGGGCATTCCTTAGGATCACTGCTTCCAGGTACGACATCCTCCCTGAAAAGAAATGGTTTCATATCACTACCTGCAACCCAATCAATCAGTTCACAGTTTTCAAAAAATAATGCAATGCATATCTTAAAAACAGCCTGGCAACAGCCTAAACTTCATCTTGAAACTATTCAAAGAGAAGCTGCTAACTTAAATTACTCCATGAATCCTCTCGTTCTTATTAGTTGGTTAGCTATCGAATTTTGTAACGAGACTAGGAAAATTCATTATTGCCAAGTAATGGAAGTATTTTTTTTCCAGGATTCTGTTAGGTGAAATCTACAGTCAATATATGTTATTCGTTTAACATGACTTCAGCACAACAGTTTCTAAGGCTGTATTATTGATAAATATAACTCCGAGAATTAAAAACCTACTGTCAGAACATTAGTTAAGCAACATAATCTATAAACTGCAGTCTGTCATCTAAATATTAGCATCTAACTGTTTAAGCACGTCCAATGCAAATGCCGGATAAAAGTAAGTCTTCTTTCAAAAGGAAGACTTGTCTGTTTTTCCGGTTGTAGTCTATCCTTTTGAAGAAGAGCACTTTGATCAAAACGGTCTGAGCAGAGATAGGTACTGCACTTACCTAACAAAGGATATGTCTGCTGTCAGTGCTGCTTCCGACGCCTTATATATTGCTTTATAACTGTGCTGGGGTTAATTAATTAAATTGCTTGTTAGACAAAACCGCCAGTGACAACTTATGACAGCAAACTTTCCACACGAGTTGGAAGAGGTCCCAGATGACTAGACTGACACAACATCTGGAAAATACTCCCGTTAAGAGAAATGATTACAGAGAAAACTAAATAGAGGCTTGCTTACTAGTCAAAACACATTTTAATTTCTGAGTGGAATGAACAAGTTGTCCCGAATGCTAAGTGCATCTGGAAGGCATTAGATATTATTGCATAGCAAAAAAATATATCATTATTGGCAAACGCTGAGTATATTTTCTTTCCTGTCAAATGAAGCTTAGGAGACAGTAGCCTAAAATTATGCAGTTTATATCTGCTACTGATAGCATTTCTTCTCCAAAAACTTTTGAGATTTAACTCATGCAGTCAAAATAAGTCACCAGTTCTACGCTGAACGTGTGTAACTCCCTGATAACATGACTGGAAGTTTTGCCAAGGTATTGGCTAAAAACCAAGGAGTTTGGTCCAGTCACAAATTTATAAAATCTGTTATATGTAAAGCGTCAAAAATGAATGGAAGAGACTTAAATCATTTTAAAAGTCTCTGTGTTTATCTGTTTTGGATTCAGAATGCTGAAACATTGCTTGTGGCCCTCTCGGAGCTGAAGGTGGCTACCAGGGGACTGCTGTGAAACTTTTAATGGTCCTGACGTGGATCCTTATTCAGACAGTGACTGGGAGGGCAGGGAGCTTCGGTGCGTCTGTCTCATGACAGTCCTTAAATCCTAAAGTAATTCTGTTTTCCCAAAATAGTAAGTATGGTACAAAACACATTGGTCCCAATTAGGGAAAGCACTTAAGCATGAGCTTAAGTCTCTTAAGGAAAAAGCATAGGCACCTCTGAAGAGGAATGGCTTTAGACACAGGCTTGAGTGTTTTCCTCGCTTGGACCACTGTGATTTGTATAGCTTTGGTATTTTTATGCTAAAATATCTTTGTAATTTACATGCTATCACAATACAGGCCGTTTCATTCAAGCTTTCTGCTTTGTGGTCGCTTTGAATCGCTCCTGTGTTACAAACGGGCTCCAGTTGATTGACCTCAGTCAAAAAGAGTGGTTTTCCATTAGTGCAGGAACCGCTGCCACCTTTGCAAAAGTTTAGAGTTACCCAGGCCAGAGTTAAATGGAAGCACTTATATAATGTCGGTTTGCTGTTCAAAGCTCCCTGTGCCCTGCCAGCACTGTCCTCCGCAGAACAGGAAACCGGAGGCACGGAGATTTCATGGAATTTATTCGGGGCAACACACTGAAAGGGGTATTTGTGTATTTTGTTTACATTTGTGTATTACCTTTCTTCCTTGTAGTGATTGCATCGATTCACTTTTTAGTGGAGTTGACGCTAAGCTTGATAAAGAAAGCAAGTGGTTTGAGAGGAAAAAGGTGTCTGGCTTTTAGCACAGAGAAACGCGCATACCGTTGCTTTCTGTGATTTGTGAAATCAGTAGTAGCAGCTCAGTGACTCCTGCTGTAGGAAGCAGCAGACGGGAGAAGTCTTTAGGAGAACGCCTGGCAGAGCGGGACCTGACTCCGTGAGGAACAGTCAACTTCCGAGTCTCTCCACGCTTGCACGAATTCTTTCCCCCCCTAACGTGGGTCTAGCGAAATGGTTATAAATTTGGATCCATCTGCTCTCAGGTAGGCTGGTTAAAAAGTGACTACTGCCTAAGAACAACGTGTCACAGAACGAACTGTATGCTATATTGTGCTCTTATAGACCAATCCCCCCACCGAATAGTAGCTGGAAGAAACCAGGAGGTTAAAGTGGAGGAAGAAAAGATTTTCACATCCGACGTGATTAATATGAGAGATGCCAACGATAAGAATAAGGAAAATGGACAGGAGAAAGACAAAGTGCACGAGGTAGGAGACATGTAAATCTAGGCGAGTAAGAAGTGATGTGTGTCTGGGTATAACGTAAGAGTAAATCTTGGTGGAGAAATTCTGTTTAATGGTTAAACAAGGAATCCTCACTCAGAAAGCTGACCTAGCGCTGGCTGCTGGTTAACTGGCGAGTGAAGGGCGCAGCAGCTTCCTTCAGGCTGCAGATCTTTCATTGCCACCTGCAGAGCAGTGAATCCGGATTCCCAGAAAGAGGCACCGCTGTTTAAATGACCGAAAAGTAACGCCCTTGCTTTGGCAAAATGTCAGTGAAAAAGCGTGAGACAGTACTGAGTCTTTATTTTCTTTGCAGGCTTGGTATGAAGCAACCTTCTTGTACCGTGAAGAATCATCCTTCTTGGACATCACACGTACCCTACTAGAAATGATCATTTCTTATCTTTCCCCAAGCTTTCACCTCTATCCCCAGTCAAATAAAAATGGTCTGTTTAAAGGTGTATATTCAAGGGGAAGGGATAGCTGGATCAGCACAATTGTGCACAAGAGAAGCAACAAGTGGTTGTTAGTTTGTACCTCTTTGAGAAGATTTGTTTTCTTGTTTGGATTTTTTTTTTTCTGCTGCTGTTTGACTTCACAGTCAGAAATGAACGGTAACAGTTCTGATGTCTATTCAACAGGAAGGTATTCGAGGACAAACAATAATTTCCTATATAAACAGCTCCCTTGGCAGTACTGAATACTGTATATTGATGTTTTAGAAGAGAAAGCTATAGTTAAAGCTGCCAGAGGCTTGGGTAAGTTGCCTTTTTCTCTTCTCTATTGTAAACACCTGGTTTTGATCACTGATAGTTTTTAAAAATTCTACATTACTCATCTGAAATTCTCAGTACGTAGCTTCTGCCGGTCACTGAATTCAGTTTGAGAAGAAAAATGTTTTTTTCCACACTCTTCAATTTTGAATCACTCTTGTAATTCTGTGCAGCCTATTAAAAATGATGCCAAGGACACTACTCGTGAAGTTTTTGCGGAATGAGACAGAGTTCCACATGAAATATATGAATAAATTGCAAGGACTGGGAATTTCTCCAAGCCAAAAAAATATACCACAGGGTGCAAGAAACAACACGGGCTCGAGTAAGGCAGCGTTGCGGTGGGAACACTTCATACGGCTGGATCATAACCTCATTAGCAAATCTGGTTTCTGTTTGCTTTAATCAGAGAGGTTGAGCTGCAAGCCATGAAATTAGAATTTATCCCACAAAGAAAAATTGTGGTGGAACGTGATTGATAAAATAGAGTAACAGGCTTAGGGGTGATTTAGCAACCTGAGATGCAGTGAACACTACGGGAAACAGCTCGAAGCGTAGCACAAGCTGGAGGAGAGCTTAATGCTTTTGGGGGGAAATAATACTTAGGTATTAACAGATGCTTCCCTAACATAGAGAAACCCCCTTTCTCAGGCGTGATTTGAGGATCTGTTTGGAAAGCAGTGGCTGAAGGAAGAAGATTTGAAATCTCAAATATAGACTCAAGGCACCCGGTGTGCACTGGGTAGAGGAGGGTAAAGAAGATAAAATATCTTCTTCATGAACTTTAGAACTTCTTCTTTTGAAGTGTAGAGAAAAGGTAAGGCATCGCAAGACAAAATACGCCGTTGATGCATGTACACCAGAAGGGCTAAGGTAGTAGAGAATATCTTCACTTATGTGTGAAACTAATATAAAAGAATGATTCTCCCCCACCAAGTCCATTCAAGGTGTGCATTTCTAAAAGAGTGCCAGTCACTTAATTTCTGATGCTCAGTATATTTCAAGTTAAAGTCGTTTCGTGACTTCTGCTGCACAGGAATTTTATCTAACCAGATTTGTACCTCTACAGTTAGTTACACTTTCCTGGGTTGCCTTTTTCTTTTTCTTTTTTTTTTTCCCTATTTTTTGGGGAGGGAGTTGGTTTTTTGTCTCGTATTTTTTTTTCTTCCCTCGCTGTTACATGGAAGACACCTGCAGTGAACACGAGTTGACTGGATATTTGGCACTGGATTGTCCCAGCTGGATACATCCCTTTCTCCTCGTCAAAGGTAAAGATGTAAAAACTGGAAAAGTCTTTGTTTTCCTTCAGTTTCAGTGACCTCTGAAGCAACGACCTTTGACACAGGTCTCTCCTCTTTTAAGTGCTTTCAAAGTGAACACTGCCTCTGGGACATAAAGTTCCCTTCTCGAATGAAACTCTTGCAAGGGTTGCACACAGATGCCGCGTGATCGCAGCAGCTCGAAACGGGGCACTGAGAACGCAGCCGCCCCTTTACCATTTAGACGTGACAGATCTTTTGCGACAATCTTATTGCAAAAATGTAGATTGTTCAGCGAGGCCGTGGTAGTGCGCAGACTGTGCAGCGCTGATCCAAGCCCCACTTGAAAAAGGGTTAATCGGGAGCAAAGGCGGGATTCCCAACCTGATC